TAAAGGGCCTGTGTTACCTATTCCCAAACCTCCTCATACAACACTTCCACTCCAGGACAATCAGCATGATCTCAAATCAGTCTCAACTCCAGTGAGACCTAGCTCATTTTCTGAGCCACACGATGCAAGAATGAACTCCCCAGAACCCCACCGCAGAGCTGATCCTGCCTTTGTCCTTGCTTTGCTGCTTGGTGAGATAAAAGCAGCCAAATTGCCTGAGTTAGATTTTGCAATCTGTTCAAAGCAAAAGATTATCTGATAAGAGCTTCCTACCTAATTATGCTTTGAGGCCTGACCCTGTTTGATTATGAGTGTTTCCTGCTAAGGTCCATCATCTTCCAGTCAAAGCACCACTGCATACTCAAACACTGTGCTACTACTGAGGTCAAATGGGGCTTTTATCGCTTTATGGCTGGTTTAGATGGTTTCTTACTCAGCATGTGACCTGTTATGAGTTATAATGGCAGACCCAATTGTGCCCATTCTTTGCCTATAATATCATAAAAAAAAAGCTGTAAAGAGGTAGGGAAAAAACATCCACCTTTTGCAGTATCATATTCAACTGGCCAACAGCAAGTACCTAGAGTACAAGACTAGAATATAGTTATAGTTCCCTTATTGACTTTCTCCTCCTCCATAAACTTGCAAAAGACAGCCTTCCTGAGACAGTCCACAGCTGCATGTGGAATATTATGGGTATTTTTCTTCACATGCCTAATCACTTTTCTGAACCCAGATAATCTTTCAATGTCCACAATAACTTCAGGTGCAGAGTTCCACAGCTTGTCTACCGTGGAGGAAATCTCTCTTTTTGTTCATTTTCAACATAACACCTGCCAGTTTCATTTGTTTCCTCCTAGTTTTTGCATTAGTATAAACAGAAAATAATTGTTTTCCAAGACAAGTTTTCTGTGCAAATGATTTTTTCCAGAAATAATTCATATCCCACTTAAACAACTTCTTTCTTAAACTGAACAGTCCTAGTCTATTGAGTTACCGGTTGTTTTGAAGTCATTCCACACCTTTAATCATTGCTGTCATCCTTTCCTATACCACTTTCAGCTTTATTATATTGGTTTTAACTTGCTACTCAATTGCCCATTCAGTCAGTTCAGTGAGATACTACTAACAGGGAGGAAATTTCTTTTTCTTGTTGTGTTTAATAATTTACGACTCTTAGCAAGCTCCATTTTTCTGTTATTTGCTCTCTGTCCAGATAATTATGGCTATGTTGAAAGATACATGATCTAGGAGAGACCCCCAAGGGTTTTCACTTGATACATCCTCCCAAGGAGAAAACTGACATTAATTCTTAACTCTTTGCTCCTAATTTTTTTAAGCAGAGCTTAAGTATTCACCTCATGGTTCCAAATATCAACTGATGTTCTTTTAGGTGCCAAAAAGGTATTCACTGATGTCCTTTCAGATGCCAAAAAGATGTACACTACAATGCTCATCTGTACAGTATCTAACACCAATTTTGGACCTAATCCAAACTGCAGCTGTAGATTCTAGGAGACACATGACCATCCAAGTAATAGGCATTGCAACAGTTGCTTTTGTGCTTTTGTTGCCATAGCTTTGTATCTCTAACACAAATGGTAAAAAAATTAATTATATTATTTAACACAAGTCAACATGCTGTAATAGTGGTCTATTCGTGACTCTGCCACAGATTTGTGATGTGTAGATCACATAACTCTCTTGCCTTCAGGTCCCAGTTGTCTGCTCAGTATTTGTCATCCTTTTTAAAAGTAGGGTACTTAGGGTATGAGTTGTGTTTTGTTATGGCTGCCTGTGACAACTCATAGAGTGATTCTTGAGCTGTTGGCAGTTCTTAGATGGATCTCCAAGGTACTATTGCAACAACAAACAGAAATTATAATGTGTATCGAAACGTAGAACTGCGAATGACTTAAGCATTGTTCGGTGTTCTCCTTCGTGATGCTTTCCATCACCAGGATGGAGCTTGATTTCTCTCAGAAATGTTAGAAAGGAGTCCTATTATAGCAGTCAGGCAAGCCTGTGGGTCTAAGTATGGACTGAGCTTTCACTTCACTGAGAAATACATGAGGATGTGACATTTAGGTTTCCTGCTTGTTTCCCTTGGAGCATTATTTAACTCAGGAGGTAAGCCAGAATAATTAGTCAGGATAATACAGACGCTGCTGCAGTTACTTAACTGTTTGCACCTGCAAAGGAATTGTATCTTCTTCTCTAGCTGCCTCTGTGTGCCAACCTCGTCCCATCAGGACTCTTCATTCAAGGATCTGTATGTAAAATGCAGATCCAGAAAAAATAAAGACTTCAATTTATTTAGGTATTTATATCATCAACAACATCTGTAATTATTTATTTATTTAATGGCAGTAGAGTAAGGCCTTAATGAAAGTAAGCATCTAACTATTTGTGATCCAAGCCTGATGTCATCAATTAGACTTTCAAAAAGATGTACCCAATGTGCCTGCTAAGTGTTGCCTGACTCCTGAAATGAGATGCCTGTTCATTCCACAGAAATGAGATTCTGCTTCACTATCTGAGACTCCGTGGTTGCATTTTGTAAAGCTATGAACGGAAAAGGAAAGTAAAAGCAAACCAGAGATGTTCGAAGTTACATCTTCTAAGGTAGCACTTTTGTGTTAAAAAAGATAGGAGGATTTTTGACAATATGATCACATCTCGTTAAATCAGATACAGAATTAGAGTTTATAGTAAATGTATTCATTTTTAACACTCACGTTTTTAATTTATGAAAAGGTTTTACTTTTAAAAGCTGAAAAAGTAATGCTTACAAGAAACTGTAATTTGTAAGTTGGTAGAAGATGAACATTCACATTTTTTTATTGTAATCTTCTAAATTTCCTAATACACTGCAGTGAAGTATCTGGTTCTCAGATATATTTTTTGACAGTTTAATGAGAGAAGAAGAGAATTCTTACTACAGTATTTCAGGAATAAATTCACTCATGCAATGCCTAGAGCAGGGTTGAAAAAAAAGGATAATCTGTGTAAAAAGAGATCAGACACCCAGTGCTCATCCTACAAGTATTCCCTTTGTATTGAAGGTATGTAAGTGCTGCTTTAATGAGCTCTAGGTAGAGGTGTTAGTCTGCATGAAGTGTTACCACACAGAGGTTGAAAATAATGTGCCATTAGCTGTACTTGCACGAGAAAAGCTGTTTGAAAAATAAATAAAAAAATTTATTCTGCTGTGAGAGATTCAGCATATGTGATCAAGGGATGCAAGTTTGACACTATATGCTGAAGTGAGACTTCAGTAGTAAGAATATTCAATACGTCAGGAATTCTGGTGGGTTCCTTCTCCATATTGTATGGAAACAATTATGAAATTAAAATATTTATAAATGACACAAAACTGCAGTCTTCAGTGTAATTTTTAGAAAAAATTAAATATCTTAATACTAGAAGTGCTCCTACCCTGCTGTTCAGAGAAAATGGGATAAGAAGTTCCTACCGTGTCAGCTGATTCCTGCTTTGTTGAACAATATTGAAATCAGCTTGATTTTCCATTGATGTTTTGTTTTTCTAATTCCACTTAAAAGAGTAAGTGCTGACAATGCAAGTGCTGAGCTTATGGATAGAAGGTCTGAATTTATTGAATTGCAAAAAAACTTGGCTTCATACAGAGAATGGTTTGTTTGGGTTTCCTGTATTTTGAGGGTGGATTTTTTTCTGAATTTTGACTGGAAAATGAGATTATGGATTGAAGATGTTGGGGTCCCATGAGTGTAATTCTGGCAGCCAGTAACTGAACTTAAATAACCAGGCATGCAGCCTATACAGCTCAGCCATGATATGTGTCACTATTCAAACAATTTAGATG